CAGTTTTATGTTGGAACCCAATTTTGATCTACTTTCATTCATGTGGAACACAAAATAGTTATAAAGTTAGACTCAGGGGGGGTCGGCCGTGTTGGCCTGAAGCCACAGAACAGAGTCCAGCAGGGGCACCTCTGAGACCAACAGAGTTTTAATCACGGGTGTACGCTTTCACGGGCATGCGCACGAAGGGCATGCGAAGGGTTGTGCCATAGTCCTAAGTAAATGACAAGTAGGCAAGAAACTGTGACTAGCCAATGCCAAATACTAATAAAGATGTATAAAACGAAGGATTCTGTATTCTTTTCTCAAAGACTTATCATAAATATATTTTTCAATATTCCATTACAGGATCACACTTGTCATATCTCAATATTTCATCCAAGAATCGTCACTAGACAATTACAGAAATATGAAATTCTATTCAAAACAATTTAGCATTTGAAGGACATACTTCCATACATTTGAGACACATCAATGTTCCACTGTGTAAGAGCTTCAGACAGTTTTTCAGTCCAAAAAATGCTAGTCCCAGGCAATGTTCCCTCTAAGCTGTGGAATCTTGTGAGCAAAAATTCTACTCTGTGAGCTACTGGCATGAAATTTGTGAGCAAGCGATTTGGCTACTGCATAAATTAGTTGGCTCTGGAGTCATCCTTCCCGAGCGAAGACAAAAATCTGTGAGCTGGAGGCTGAAAAACTGTGAGCTAGCTCACACTAACTCAGCTTAAAGGGAACACTGGTCCCAGGTCCAGGAACGGATCCATCCAAGACGAAGACTCCAGATTTAATCCTCATTTTGAATTTCTTCTTCAGAACAAGGACTGCTCTTAGGGTTAATGGCTGGCTCTTCTGTAATAGGCTTATCTTTAGATTTCAGTAGTCGGTAATTATGCTATACTGACTACTGAAATCTGAAGATGAAGTCTCTTACAGGGGAGGAGTGGTATAGCATGGTGATTAATTGAGTGTTGAGAGACAGGTTTGCAGAGAAGTGAATGAGACTGGACATACTTCCATACATTTGAGACACATCAACGTTCCACTGTGTAACAACTTCCGTTTCAAAAATGCTATTCCCCGGTCCAGGAAGTGATCTAGGATGAAGACTCCAAATTTCATTTCGAGTTTCTTCCGCTCTCAGGGTTAACGGTTGGCTCTGTAAATGTCTCATTCACTTCTCCTCTGTCATAGACTTAATCTTCAGATTTCAGTGGTGGCCGGTATAGTGCTGGTTAGTCACAGTTTCTTGCTTTCTTACCACATAACAGTCCTAAGTAAAGTCACACTCGTCTAAATTCAGGGAAGTCAATGGGTTTAGGAAGGTATAACTCTGTTCAGGATTGCACTGTTGATGGCAAAAGTTTTCTTAACAGGGTGGTGGTGATTTCACAGCCACCCCCCCAATGCAGCCCCCTGAGATTTTGTTCTTAAGGGTCAGTGAGCCCTCTGGAACGGCATTAAGAAGAAAAGTGGGGCTCAGCAGCAGACGGGCGGAGCCAGTGGAACTTGCTGCCGTCTTTCAAGAAAACCTAAATGCCACTAAGTTGTCAATGTGTGGCTGGATACAGGCCATGGGCTTTTATTAAACAGGTGATGATCATTTACCCACAGATAGCTAAGAAATATGTTATCCACAAAATATAATCCTTACCTCTCTCTTTCTGCTTTGTTTTTAATGGATTTATCTTGGCTTATGGCTTTCCCGTTTTCCATCGAAATTTTTGCCTGGTTGGCACGCATTTCTTTGCTTTCCCACTACGATAAACGTTTACATTAATTAGATGCACTGGACAAGCAGGCCCTTCGGTCAAAGGCCAGACTGTTGTGTTCACTCCTCTCAGCACAGCCCTCACTTTTTAAATATATAATTTATATTATATAAACCCCTCCCCTTTTTTTCTTTCCTTCTTTGCATCCCTCCTGTTTTCCATATATGTTTTCTGTATCCCTACTGTTTTCCATATGTTTTCCATAGATGGAAAACAGCAGGGATACAGAAAAAGGAAAGAAAAAAAGGGGTTATACAACATAATTGTGTTTATCGAGGAAAATCATGTATTACAAAATGTTCAAAATGGCTAGATGGCCATCCGACAGCAATGCTGATTCTGTGAACTGAGGCAGATCACGAGAGGGAGGGCAGGAAGGGTTGCCTCAGTGTTTAGTTCTCATGGCCCTTTCTGACACGCCCAGGGAAATGCTGGTTGCCACTTTGGGGTCAGGAAGCCATTTTTCTCCAGGCCGGTTTGGCCAGGGATCCGGGAGGGGTTTTTGGTCACCTTCTGGGTGTGGAACAGGAGTCAATGGGAGTGACGAGGGGGAGGTATTTGTGAATTTCCTGCCTTGTGCAGGGGGTTAGGCTAGATGACCCTAGAGATCCCTTCCAACTCTATGATTTTATGAGTCTATGTATAAGAAAGAAAATATTTTCCCTTACATTCCCTTCATTATAATTTTTAAGGTACTGTCTATAAAATACAATAGTTCTTACTTTTGTGGGGGAATGATTATATTCAACATTTTAGGATTCAAACTTCATAACTAATCTCTTTTGTAACTACATCTTCTGTTTCATCATTACCGCATATTCAATATTACGTATTTTCACCACTTCTACATATTTGTCAGAACCTTTCACAGACAAGTAATAGATCAAGGTGCAAAGGAGGGTCTACAGTATATCTCATAACAAGAAAATAGAAGGTATCTATTCAGATTCCACTCTGAAAAGATGTTCTCCCCAAGGTCCACTTCCGTTCACCACTTTGTATTTGAGATATTACATTTAAAATAGATTTTGATTCTACTTCTATTTCATTACCATACATTTGTATATAATATTTTAGACTGCTTCTCATTCTAAATTTGCCTCCTGCTAGTATAGTATACATAATACAAGCTCCATCTCTCCTCTAATCTCATAACTGACCTGTTTCTCAAATAGGTTGTTAATTTTGCCATTACTGCGTATTCATTAAGTTTATTTTTCCCATTCTTTTAAACCTGGACAGACGTCTAGTTTCCATTTTGCTGCATAAATAGTTCTAGCTGCTGTCAATATGTATTTGAATACCTTTTCCAAAATTTTTGGTAATTTGTTAGGCAGAACACCTAATAGTATATTCCTGGCTTCCACTGGGAATTTAAACTTTAATATGTTCCACATTTTTTTGGTGCATTTCCTTCCAATATCTTTTTGCTTTATTACAAGTCCAGCACATAGGAAATAAGGTTCCATCTATGTCTTGACATTTCCCACATTTTCCTTTGTTGTTTTTATCTACTTTCTCAATGTCCTTTGGAGTTATATACATCTAAAAAACATTTTGTGCCAATTTTCTCGTAATGCCTGACTGACTGTAAATTTCTTATCTTTTTCCCCTAGTCATTCCCATTGTTGCAAAGATATCTGTTCTTTGAGGTTTTGCATCCACTTAGTGGATTTTCCACTTGTTCACCTTCTGTTTCTAGATGGAGTGAAATCTTATCTATCCATCATAAAGGTAAAGGTTCCCTTGCTCTAAAGCCAGTCGAATCCTACTCTAGGGTTGCGGTGCTCATCTCCGTTTCAAAGCCGAAGAGCCAGCGCTGTCCGAAGACGTTTCCGTGGTCATGTGGCCGGCATGACTAAACACCAAGGCACACGGAACGCTGTTACCTTCCCACCGAAGTGGTACCTATTTATCTACTTGCTTTCGAACTGCTAGGTTGCCAGGAGCTGGAACTAGAGATGGGAGCTCACTCCATCATGCAGCACACTTGGGTCTTGAACTGCTGAACTACTGACCTTCCAGAGCCTGCAGTTCAGCATCTTGACCCCTTGAGCCACCGCAGCTTCTATATCCATTATAGTAAATGCTCTTTTTGTTCTATAATCAATTGATCAAATTAAGTCGAATCTCTTAAAACTCCGCCTTCAGTGCTCATGATCTCCTTTAATCTTGAGACGGATTGATAGTATAGCAGCCATTAAATGTTTACACTGTCATCTTTGATGTCTTGCCAGGATTTGCTTTCCCCCTATTTATCATATGTTTAAAAAATCATTTTTATTTCTTATGTGCTTATCATGGTAAGCTTCTACTGGGGACATAAGCGAAGGATTTGAGGGGCTCAACAAATTCCGATATGTAAACCATGTTCTCAAAAGTCCATCCCTGATTATGTGACTTCTTTCTTGTGTTACGATCTTTTTAGTTGATTTCTTAACCCATAAATGTGTAAGCCGTCATCTAGGTCTGCCGATTCTAGTTTTACTGTTCTTGTGCTGTTTTTTGTTTTGTGCGGACAACCAGGCTTGGTTGTCATGGAGAGGTGGGGGGGGTGAGTTCAAAAATGTCTACTTTCGTTTCTGAGTGTGATGCTGCTGTCTGTGTCCGACTGAACCATGTAACCTTGAGGACCTAACTGTGTCTGGTGTCCTTTTCCCCTGAGAACTTTACATCATTACTTTGGCGGGCTTGCTAGCTTAGCTGCGATTGGCCAGGAGCCATTGATGACCCGTTTGACTGTAGTATAATTGCTGGCTTCACGCTCTTGGCCCCAGTTCTAGCAAAGAACGTCATGAGTCTGGCTCCTATTAATGTCTCAATAAACTTTACTTCTTCTGAGTGACTTGTTATTGGGGACTGATTTCTCCAGGGACTCTGACAGATGCCCCAGAGGGGCTGAATCCCCCCCTGCCCCCAGAGACCCCGGGCGCGGGGCCCCGTCGCGCTCACCTGTCATGAGAAAGCTTCAGCTGCTGGGTCTGCTGCTCGTGAGCACCAATGAGCAGCTTCTTCAGCAATTCGCACTGCTGGCTCAGGTGCAGGTCGCGCATCTCTTGCTCTTCGGCACTGTGCGTGTGGATCATTTCGGACCACTCTTTGGTGTGCTGACCCACAATTTCTTTGACCTTGGGGAAACGAGAGGTGTGTCAGCGCCTGGACTTGCCTTTGTTACACACTGATGGCACATTGTCCCTGACAAGGCAATTTTACTTGCACCCTTAGGACCTAAACTGGAAGGTACATTATTATTTCCAGTACATACAACTACTTCTGACACAAGGCCAGATATATTTGTGGCCCCAGATAGAAACTTTTTGGTGTGTCATTCAATTCCATATTGGAACATTCCAATTTTGGTCCTATTTTATTTATTTATTCTTAATTGCCTCCCATGCGTTACGGGGACTCTGTTACTTCTTGTATTTTGCACTATTTGACCTCTGAAGAAGGCCCTTGTGAGCCGAAACGCGTCAGGCCAGATCATACACTGCCCTTTTTTGTGTATTTGTAACTTTGAACATTTTATGAGGCTTTGTTAGGGCCCCTACTCGGTTTTTATATGTCTTTGTAATAAACACTCTTTTGTACACTGACTTATGTTTTTAACTTTTGGCCCTCAATAAGTTTTCTAATCTTCCTTTGGAGGTTCAAACCTTTGAAAGGCCAGCTAGACCATCTCTGAAACAAGGAACCTTAACACTGCTTGCTTCTTCAGATACAGCTGGAAGACAAGTCCTTCTGTCCTTCCATCCTGGAGAGTGAAGCGATTTCAGATGCCGAATGGCCAACAGCAGGCACGACTGGATTAGGGGTGTTATGCACAGAGGTAATAGGCATGGAGAAATCAGCGCTGGTGCTGAGACAGGAAACCAAGGTCTCGATTCTGAAGAAGTGAGCAGTGACTCCTGAGAGCTCCTTCTCTGTCACACATTTTGTTAGTCTTTTAAGGTGCTGCTAGACTCTGGCTCTTTTGTACTCCTGACAATAGTAAGGCAGGCCACTTTATAAAAACACCGCTTTAGCCAATCCACAGAGGGCAACGGAAGAAAATTACATTTTTCAGTGGACTGTTTTGTTTACTGGAGGGTTTGGCTGTCTGATTGAATTGTCTTTTGTCTTTTGCAATCTACTGTGAATCGCAGTGAGAAGGGTTGGCTATAAATGGATAATAATGAAATCACTCGTACCTACTTGTAGCACCCCTTCCTCCCTCTACAAATAGAAAAGACATCTAATGATCTAGCAAATTAATACACCCCCCTCAGGAAATGTTCACTTTTTTTCCTTCTCAAGAGGTCTTGGAGATCTGGGGTCCCCATTACAATGCTCCCTCTAAGCTGTGGAGTCTAGTGAGCAAAAATTCTACTTTGTGAGTTACTGGCATTAAAGCTGTGAGCGAGCGATCTGGCTACTGCATACATTAGTTTGCTCTGGAGCCCTCCTTCCTGAGCCAAGGCAAAAATGTGTGAGCCAGAGGCTAAAAAACCGTGAGCTAGCTCACACCAACTCAGCTTAGAGGGAACACTGGTCCCCAAACCAGCACGACTAGTTAACAGAGTTAACGGTACAGCATTAAGAGGGTTATACCCAGCTGGACCCATGAAGGGCCAGGCATGACTGATCCACGTCATCTGCGGCCACGCAAAGCCCTTCCTGACAAGAAAAAGAACACAAGT